CTTGTATATTGATGCCACTCTAATGCAAATGATAAGATAAATATATCTTCTGGGCTTTCTGTGATCTGTGTTACTGTAACACCAGAGCAACAAAGACTTTATGTATGCTTTCAACATCCTTTGTCAAGAAAATGGCAGTTTGGGGGGAGGAGGAAAGGCAAAAAACCAACAACAACAAAAAGAAAAAAAAAATTAAAAGCCATAACAAAAAAACTGCAGCCAAATCAAGATCAAAGCCATATTTCTAAGCCTCTGCAGACTTGAGATACCTTATCGATTGTATAGAACTGAAAAAATTCCTAGAGTCTGATGTTTGAAAGCACCCAGTGTAGCTTAATATTTCTGTAGGTATTTCAAAAAGCACAAAACGTGTCAGCACTCCAATTTTATAGATGGTACAAAAGGAACAGAAAGACAGAGCTGTGTCAATTGAGATGAATACTAAAACTGACTCTTTTCTTGAATGCTGCCAGCAGCTCATAAAAAATCAATTTAATCATGGATTTTCTTGCAGTTAATTATTATAAGAATTACTTGTTTTTAGAAAGCACTTCCCCATCATTTATCAGTCCAGTTTTAATCTCTTAAATTAAATCTATAATTACTATGGATTCCAGTCTATAGAAGAATGATAGTAATAGTCACATTTTTTGTCTTGTCATTTTCTGTTTGTTAAAAGTAAACTGATCAAACCAAATATTCAGTAGAAATGTAGTAAATAAAAAGCACTTGCTGTTTTCAAGATGGTGATCCAATTAAACATGTATAAACCATAACAAACCTCCTAAGGAGAAAAATGCTGCACTTTGATTTATTTTTGGTCACTGCATTTTTATGACAGAAGACATTTTCTTAAGTGCTGACATTTTGTTACTACTTATTGTTTTCAAATATTAATTTAGTAATCCTTTTCTCTTACATCAGGCCTGCAGTTTGTAATGTGATTTACAGAATCTGATCTGATGCATTCCCCAAAGCGAGTAACCAAGTCCATCCAAATTGATTCTGCCATTGATTTCTCTGCCTGTAAATTTACGTGGATTGCAGCACTTTATTTGCTCCTTTACTCCTGGATCTATTAATGTAAATCTTCCTTTCTTCTTTCCCTACCTTTTTATTTCCTTCCCTGATCTCCTTTACAGACATATTGCCTCCCTTTATTCTGATTTCTCTCTTCTTTCCTCTTTTCTTTCCTTTTTTCCCTTCTCTTCCCCCCCCCCCCCCCCCCTTCTGCTGCCTTCTGTCAGTCCAGGAATGTTTTCATCTCACACTCCTTTCTAATTTCTGCTTGATTTCCCCTGCTGCTCTGCTCTGTTTGTATGTGGTAGAGAGCTGCAGGAGGGTATAAAACATGCACACACCAAATTAAAGTGCTAGTACGCTCTGTTAACACCTACAAAGTTACCTTCAGCTGTATTTATCACAGAAGAAATTGTAAATGGGATAAATAGTTAAAGCTGGAGGCTGAAACACGAATTTCAGAAACACTGGATGTTAGACTGCTCCTTTTTACAGGACAGCTACAGAGTGCCATCTATTGTATCCAAATGAAACATTTTCACAGAACAAGCTGAGTTGGAAGGGACCCGCAAGGATCACTGAGTCCAACTCCTGACCCTGCAGAGCACATCGCCAGGTGTCACACCCTGTGCCAGAGATCATTGTCCAAATGCTCTTTGAGCTGTGTCAGGCTGGTGCTGTGAGCACTTCCCTGGGAAGCCTGTTCAGTGCCCAACCACCCCCATCTTCAAATAAGTTCTGCCTTAGTTGCTGTTTTCTGCAGACAGCTGGACATTATGAGTGCATTAACTACAAGCAAACATCACTCACATTTGAGTTACTTTTCTTTCAGTTCTCAACTCTCCCATCATCATGTCATCTTTAAGTGTTTGATTCTATCATCTGCTTTACAGCATTTATCTGCATTTTGTCTTTTCTCTCATGAGAACTCAAGAACATTTTGTCTCTCATTCTCTCAATGAACTACATTCATAACAATTTTTCACAGAGGCAAAGGAATTTTTCCTAGTGTTGTTTCCCACATATTCAAGAAAAATTGGAACAGCTGTTCTTAGACCTCCTTAAATATCATATTAAGGGCTGACTGTAACATTTATACCAGGTGATAAATATGTAACATCCTCACCTTCAGCTTAGACATTTCAGTGAGTGTTACCTGCCAAAGCATTGGCAGGTAACTAATTGCTGCCTCACTCTTAAGAGATTACTTGGGCAGTGGCTGGTATTGTAGTTGATTTCCTTAAGAAATATTTTTTCTACTTCGACTTCATAAATTTTATATCAACTTTTTTACCATTGTTAGCCCTTTTTTCGTTGTCATTCTAATTACACTGTGCAAATGTGAAAAATTACATATTTAAAAACATATTTATTATATTAAGGTGAATTAGCATATACATTCTACTTCCTGTAGCTGTTGTAGTACAGTAAGGACTAAAGGTTATTTTTATAATGACAACAGCACTTAGATGTTCTTGAGTCCACATTTCAGATTCTGCAGGGTACTCAGGTGTGAAAGAAATACAAAGACATGTTAAGGATGGTCAGACTCTATTCAGCCAAATCTGAGTCATGACCAAAATGATCTGATTAGGTAAAAGAGCAGGGGTGGAAACCCATTGCATTCTAATCACACCTTCTGACATTTTCTCCTTATTGTCTGAACTTCCTCTGAACATAATCATCCAAGAGCAGAATGTGAATTTTGCTGTCAAAAGGCCAAAATTATAAAACAGCACTGGCAGCACTTGAGGCATAAATCTGCTGACTTGATCAGAGACAGGGATTAATAACTGGGCCAACATTTTGTTGAGCTGCACAGCTTACTATTCAGTAGATACCCAGTTGTACTGACCTAGTTTTGTCCATGGCCCTGGCTTTCAACTATGTGATCCAAGCCGCCTGTCATATGAGAAAATACTCATTTTTATTTTGAACAAGATCTCTTCTGATTTCTCACCAGCAGAGCATGCAAATATATTGGTTTGACTTTGCTGTCTCTTTTTCTTCAATATTCTGGTAAATAATAAATGGCAGCTGCTCAACTCTTCCAAAGTATTTCTGACGAGTAGGACTTGAAGATGACAAGTGTCACCGTATCATTTTGTGGATGAGGAAACTGAAGCTGGGAGAACGAATGAGTTGCCAAGAACGCTCAGCAGTGCATGGGCTAAGCAGAGAAGAGAAACCATGCTTTCAGCTCACTGTCCTAGTTCTGCTGCAACCCCCAGGCCACTCTTCTAATTAAAAACCTGCTTAGACTTCTTAGATTCTGGATCTCATTATGTCTACTCTGCACATATTTAACAAGGTGTTAAAGGAGTTGCTACAAGGCAAATCAACAGCAGTGATGCGAAAGGAAAAAACCCCTCTACCTTTATTTTCTGATTCTTAAAAATACTTTAAAAATACACAAACTCAATGAAATATATCTTTTGCTCACAGCTGTATTTGTAACTGTTTTCTGACTTTGCAACATTAAAAAAGTCAAGGGATGAAGGACCATATGGAGTAGGGCGAATACTTTGCTTTAGTCTTCTCTTTGAAATACATGAAACTTCAGTTTCAGAAAGCTGAGGTGTTCCTTTAACATCATAATCAAGTTGGGGATACCATTTCAATATTAGCACTGAGCAAAGATTAACAAATGCCTGTGATTTAAGTATCATATCAAGAAAAAGTCTCCATGTATCCATAAGATTTAACTTGTATCAAACAAGGCATCACTCAATTTAATAATTTCTCTTTCTTTTTTCTCTGTTCTTTAAAAACAAAACAGAAATGAAAGATCCATTTGTGTGATGCAGAACTGTGCTATAATATGGGGGAAATATTGAATCTTTTATAGAAGGAGCATTCTGTAGAATGTGTTTTTTTGTTGCTGGCAACTTTTTTTGGAAAACTTAAAGAATGAATAGAGCATTTTATTTCTCTGGGAGGAGTCACAGATATGTATGTGTTTGGGAGACTTGCAGAGCTGGGCTTAAAATTTATACACCATAATTGAACAGCATTTATACTTTTTGTGAAAATTAAATTTTAGAGGGATTTGAAATGGGGTAAGTACCAATAAACATGGAGTGTATGTATGTATATGTGGTTCTGTGTGCTTGTGTATCCAAGAGAGAGCCAGCTCTGAGGCCTTGTACGTAGAGAAGGGGAACAAGAATATTTGGAACCCTTTCTCAAGGATGCTGCCGTGATTGCTTAGGAAAGTTGCCTATTTCTGGAAATAAGTATTCCCATCAGTAAATTGCATGTTATGTTTACATTCTCTGGGTCATTTTTTCAATTTACAAATGTAAATTGATGTAAAGAGCTGTGTGAGACATACCTGTTATTATTTATTGATTTCTATCATAATTAATAGTTTTTAATGTGTGGCAAAAGCAGGTACCCCTTGGGCTGGTTCAGTGATAAAGCTGCAATGTGACTTAACAAATGCATGGTCCTGATAGTGTCGCACCAAAGTTTTTAATGAGATTCTGCTGGATTCGCTTGATCTTATAAATATTATTTGCTCCAAATCTGTCAGGATCACAGCTGCCGTTACTTTACTTGGAGTTGTAAGGTTCTTTTGTTCATTTGTTGCAAAAGCAAGACTAGAATTTAAAATAAAATGTACTATATAAAGATTGGATACCTGGATATGTAGTATTGCTATAAATTAGATTATTAAATATATTCAGTGTTTTGTTTTTCCTTTTAATAAATTTGTCACTTAACATAGTGAAGATGACTCCAATGGGGTGAAATTAATAGAGATGTTGGAATTCAGCCATGAGGGGAAAAAATAACGCATGAGGGGAAAAAATTCCTACCTTATCTGTTCACCAGTTAACACCTTTGTCATCTCTTACGTGGTTTCTTTAGACAATAGCAGGCCACAGTGTCTTAGCAAAATATAGTATGCTTAAGATGCTATGAAAAATGCATATGCAGTAAGAGTGCCTAAACATTACGATTTTGTTTCTGTACAGAGAGCCTCGAAAAATCATCCTGCACAAGGGCTCCACAGGACTTGGTTTCAACATTGTGGGAGGTGAAGACGGGGAAGGCATTTTCGTGTCTTTCATCCTGGCAGGTGGGCCAGCGGATCTCAGCGGAGAACTGCAGCGAGGAGATCAAATCTTATCTGTAAGTGTTTCTGTTGGGCTGTTCTGACCAGCTTCTTCATCTTGTTCTTTGTCTATACTGCAAGGGGAACACAAAGAAGTCTTTCTCATTTCCATGTTGTGAAATCTGAGCTGCAAACAATTTATTCCTGAATATTTTGATTATTTTGCCCTTGGGTATTTGTTACTGGTATTACTTGCATTTAGCTGGGAATGAGACTTTCCTCTACTTAATGCTACCTACCCTATGGTGACACTGGAGGGAGGACCTAAGAACATTGCAGACTAAGCATCCCATATTTTGGCCCATCATCCAGTTCCATTTTTCCCAAAACACACTACTGAGTCCAAGGATATTTCTCAATTCCACCTTTTCTTGGAGGAGAACAAGCAGTAGGATGAAATCAACCATACTCGGTCTGCCATCTAGTGTGCACTCAAGTGCTTAGCAAATAGCTCGCTACAACAAGGAGATTAATTAGGTTATGTTCATTATCTCTCTGCCTTTGATGAATTTGATGGTCCCTCTGAAATTCTTTTCAAATTTTATTGGATGAAATGCTTTTTTAGCCCGAAGTTATATTTTGCATACTTAGACTCAAAAACATCTTTTTAATTTTTCATTCATGTATACATTGATATCACACATTTTAAAACCAGAACATTTGTGGTTTAGGCTCTCAAGTAATTGAACAGCTGACTGAAATAATCTGTGTATAAAGAAATTTGAATAACAATGAAAGCCTTGAAAATGTAGTTAAATATCCATTGACGTTATTCACATTCCTTACAGGAGAAAAAAAAAAGTTATCCCAAATTGATGCAGATGTGACTGTTTCATGTGAAGCACAACAATAGCCTTAAGGCAAAGAGCTGAAATACAGGAAATATTTATCCCAGACAAATGATGGATGCACTAGGCTGCAGTATCACACTTCTTCCCACTGTTGTGCCTTCTATCCCTGTGAATCCTGTATCCCTGGCTGTAATTCAGTTAGAGTTGAGGGTGGAAGATGGCTTCAGCCTGGATGGTTTGTAATGTGGTTATGTGTTTGTAATGTAGTTATGCAACACTTTCCTGGTCAGTGTTTAAATTCATAAGAAAGCTGGATATGGTTTTCCTACATTGCTAAGGATTGTCTTGGCCTATTCTATGAAAAGTGAATTTACCTTACACCTGTCAAAGTTTTGTAAAAAGGTGTAAAGAGGTGGCTGGAGGTGTTTTGTGATATATAGAAAATCTGGTTAAGTTATCACCAAAGGGAGGCAGTAACCTGACATTATGAGGATCACAAGGTATTTTATGTCCACCTGTTCCTTAAAAGTGCTGTAAGAAAAAATGAGTAAGAGCAACTAAAAGGTGTTTGGGTGCTGTTGGGAGTCCACACAGGCAGGCAGGCAGAACAGCCACATGACTACATCTGAAATGCAAAGAGTAAATTTATTTAATTACCTCGCTAACTGGAGGATCCCAAAGCAGCACCTGGGCAGGGACACAGGAATGGGAACACAGGAACCATCAGATTCAGTCCACCCTGAGGGGTGGCAGGGCTGTTCTTTGCACCCACTTATCAAGGGCCCGCACACATGCAGCTTACCACCATGCTGTGATCTCTATGCTTTTTATGATCTCTGAGCTCTGATCTTCTCTCTCCCAAAGCAGGGAGCTCAGGCAAGCCCCTGAGAATGACTCCAAGTCCCTCAAAACACCTACGTTATCCCTAAACAGAAATTCTACTTCTCAAAACAGACAGAGGATAGACAGCAGTGGGCATAATCTAAGGGGTGTGTTCCCACACTGATATTCTCCAGGCCTCAGCATTCCCACCTGCAAGGTCTCTTGGAATCTCACATCCTCCTCTGCACTCTGCTGCTTTTAACCCTTTGTTCCCAACAGTGCCTTAAAGAGCTATTCAGGTAGAAAGTTTCTAGGGAATTGCAAGAAAATCCAAATAGATTCTTATAAAGTTATCCTTAGGAAGAGATGAGGAAGTCAAAGACCTGTGTCAAGAAGAGCAGAGACAAGAAACCCAAAGAATAGAAATAGAAGTTTCTTCAGGACAATTCCGCAATTTATTTTTCTTTGTTTAGATGAAGCAAAATAGGGCTAACCAACAGAGACTAATGAGATCAAAGCCTTTCACAGTACATGGTTTTCAAAAATCCACAAGTTCAAATATAAAAGTCCATTTTCTTTTATTTTTAAGCAGGATATATTTACAACTGTATGCTGGAGCCACAATAAAATTTTTATCTCTAATTTTTCTGTTTTGTTAGTGACATTTTCCATAAGTTCTAATTAATGCTACTAGTGTTGCATTAGCATTTAGTTGTCATGCAAGTGTTGTTTATTTGTCCATTGAGCAGAGAGGGATGGAAATTATTACTAAATTAGACTGCGTACATATCCCCAGGCAATCACCCAGTCAGGGCCCTGTTATTTATTTAGTCACAAATAACTATTATGGATCCATCTTGCCATATTCAGAAAAAAACAGTTTCATGCACCGAGCTCATTAATCTTGTACCATTGTCTAGTGAAGGGTCCCAGACAGCTTAGTTTTATAAGGACTGCAGAAAAAATGTCTGTTTCTCTCTGTTTGTTCCTTCTTGTCTCATCCCTCAGAAACACTTATTTTCCTACAGATATACTTTTCCTATTTGTTTCTCAAAACATGACAAATCTGATTTACAAGAACAAATAGTACTCTCAAAGCTGCTCTTTATAATCAGATGAAGCTTGGTTAAATTTCTTGCAGACAAGAAGCATAGTAAGTGATTTAGAGGTCTGAATTTAATTTCTTATGAGATTGGTATTGCAGAATTACAATGAAGCCACAAGAGTTCTTCTGTTGTGATATTTTACTGCCTTTACAACATGGTGTGACCTGCTTTTTGGCCAATCCCTCTAATATTTATTATCTTTCAGAATGCTGCTTCTTTCATTGTTGTCCCTGCCCATTGCAAGGGAGTCGGACTTGGTGACCTTTAAAGGTCCCTTCCAACCCCAACAGTTCTATGATTCAATCTGATCAATTTATTCAATTTAGCTGGTGTCCTTCTGTGTGACCACAGGCAGGGTGCTTCATTTTCCTAAGCCTCAGTCTCCCAGGTGGACAGTGAGGATCACGGGCTCTCGCCAAATTTATGCCTGTGCTGTAAATATGGCAATGTTGACTGGTTGACAGCTGTGTATTCTCACCTTTTGGAATGTACCTACAAAAATACCTAAAATAGACTGCAAATCCGCCAGTGAGACCCAGCAAGGCTTTGCTTTTGCATGCATTGCCTTGGAGAGACACACTGAGGGTGTATTCATCCTCCCAGAGTCAGCCGACAAGGCTTGGATAGATCCCATAATCTCAGCCTCTCCTTCTGCCTGACTGTCGGGATGTGAGAGGGAGGGATCCAACCCTACAGCCCTCCGGGAGCCCTGGGAAGGACGGTGCTGCAGCCCTGGCCCCATGGATGAGTGAAATTTGAATTTATTTTTCCCAAATGCCACCAGATGGCGGTCCAGGATCAGTAATGGTAGCGGTCTGCCTTTGGCTGAAACTTCAGGAAAAAAGGAGATAACAGGTTTTTCCTGTTTTCAGTTAATTGGAAATGTTTGAAAAATACTTCGGAAAAAAGACTCATATTCCCAGTGCTCCTGTGCAGAGAGAACAAATTAGTCTTGTGTGAACCTTGAAGGTCAATTGAAGAATCATGGAAAATCTTCTGTGTTGGACAATAAAATATTTCAAATAGCCCAAAAATTAACTTCTGTGTTGCACTCATGAGAAGATGGGGGTTCCTCCCTTATAGTGTTTTCTTAAAATTCTGGTTTATTCTGGCTATAATTCATTATACTCCTTTGAATCACCACCCAACTAAATTTTTTTTTTTCATTTCTGAATGTCTTTAAAATGAAGTAACACACATGTCACCAATGTAAGTCCATCACTGTGCTAGAATATATCCCTCCCTGTAGTATTTTCCTCATACTAATTATATCATTACTATTATCAAGTAGCATTTTGAATTCGAGTTTACATTAATGCTTGATTTACTACATGTGCACACCCAGATTAATTTTCATCTCTGACACTTATAGGCCAAAGGAAACAGTTCAGAATATCCATGGAAAAATCATTTCCGTTGTAGAGCAGCAGAAATAAGGTTCCAGTGTGTTAAATGATTTGTTTAAAATAATTTTAGAAGTCTGGGCCTGGTTTAGAGGCTGCTTGAACTCAGATCTAATCCCAAGTTCTCCATCTGTTAGGAGAAAGCAGTCTTCAATAAAAATAAAATGTAATGTTCCTTGATGCCATTCTTGCAGTTTTAAGTTCCACTCCCAATGCTAAGGGATATTTTTCGTATGAAAACAGCAATGGGAAACCAGTGTTGGTTAGTCAAAACCACCTGCATTAGAACAATTTTTTTCCATGAGTCACATGCATAAAATGGCCATCCATTGTGCATACACCCTGACAGAAAGCAGTCTTATAATTTTTGGAAATATGTACATAGTGAATACATGGTAATTTTTAGGGGAAAGTCCTTGGGAGGCAGGAGAAGCAATAGAGTCCTTTAAAAATTGCCACATAATTTTTTGCATTACAATTTCAAATAAAAAAAAAACTTGATAAAACATAAGTCTTTCTTTTACGTGCCCTAGCCTGAATGCTTCAAAGCATTTTCAGCGCCAAGTGGACAACTTTTTCAATAGGTACAGGACATAAAATGGAGAAAATTACCTTATACATGCAAATTCAGCAGCAAAATTCATATTTACAGTTTCACAGAAATAGTGCATATTGCTCCTTGAATTCCTATGATGGCATTTCTTTTCAGTTTCATTGTTTTCTGTAAGGCTGCATCAAGTTGTGTACAAATTGGAGAATGATGGTGAATTAATAGGCATAAGGAATTAACAGCAAGTATTTGCATTTGAATCTTAACTTTTGAAGTTACTGAATTTTATGTCTTTGTGCAAGGTTAAACCTCAGATTAAGATACTTACATTTAGACATCTACATG